TAGCAGTGTTGAGTACAGTAATCTGAAAAATTAAAATGCCCGTCCTCTCTTTTCTCTAAGCTCTCAAGTTGAGCACAACACATACTTTAATTGTATACTAAACTAGGTTAGTGTTACTCTACTTATTTTCCCAGAATTCTTGGGACTTGGGTTTCTTGAAGAGTGGGGTGGGTGAGCGGGAGGAATGGTGAGCTCAAACAAGCATGTATTATCTTCTGCCCATCAGGACTTCCCCAAAAAAGGGGTGGTGGTGGGGAAAGAGTGAGGAAGGTGTAAAACAAGATCTCAGATTTGTGTGCTTATTACATCAAGGAAAGGAGAAGTGGGGGAGGATGAAACATTCACATGAACTCACAATTTCAAGTGAAGACATGCTTAAGAAAACTTGGCCCATATGTCACATCTTGCTTTATGTGCTTTATGAATCATGCCAATACTTAGTGGCAGAGTACAAGGAGGCCACTGCTACCATTCCACACCTGAACTCCTATAAATTCTCATGTATGATCCCCTTCAGTTGCAAAAACTTCATGCAAATATGTAAGAGGGTTTTGGAACAACTAAGCACAGCATTCCATCCTTAAATAAGGGCACAATTTATTTTATTGAAGCAGGAATTAAAGTTAATCACAGATACAGAAGAATCTCATCCAGAACAAGGGCCTTCTATGTAAGGGAAAGGTTACTAATAGAATGTAGCACATGCTTTATGCGTTAGACCAAAAATTAGTCTTCTGTCAGTGGACTTCTCAAATCCTGAAGTCCTGAGCTTTAGGAGATATGGATGAATTATGAAGGTATCAACTTGTTTCTCTATTTCCTTGGACCATCCAGAATGGGCTGTTCATAGTGACATAATAACTGGGAGCATCTTTTAGAGCCAGTCAGAGTATTCTAAGTGTGCTTCTCTGACTCAGCAAGGAGATAACCAGAAAACTAGCAGGATGCTGAGAAGCCACTACAACATTATTCATACATGCAAAAAGAGGTCTGGAATCAAGCATAGATAGAAAGAAGCCTTGTGGAAGCAGGGTGGAAATTTTATCCTCCAGTCAGAGAAAAGTTAATCTAAAGCAGAGCAAAGCTAACCAAGATTTCAGGGTTTTCCATCGGTAGGCCAAAAATGCTTACGAAATCCTACAAATTCAACTGGAAATCCATCCTTGCACCTAACTTCAAATATTCCATAAAGGGCTTCACCCTTGAATTCAAGGTTTTGAGACCCATCATAACAAGAAGTCACTGGAAGGGGGACAGAGTTTCGATAATATCCAGTGGCATCTGTGCCATTAATGGTGCAAATTTCTTGAAGCTGCTCCTCTGAGGCATGAACAATGTAAGTATGAACAGTTCCAAAGATAATGCATCTCTTGCTCAAAATCAGTCTACAGTAGATGTCTTCATTACGGGCATTTGTCTTTGGATAATCGACATGATGTAGTTTGAAGTATTCATAGTCATGAAGTGCTTCTATGCCTGCCATCAACCAAGCGGACACCAGGAGAAAATGTAATGGATGTTGCCCCCTTCTGGCCATGACTTGCTGTGTCTCTTCCAGTTTATCTTGGAATGAATGAAAAAAGCTTTGTCAAGCTTGGGGGGACAGATTGCATTACACTGTTTCTACTTACCAAAATATTTCAGTATTTATTTATCTCTTCCTTCCTCCCATACACTCAAGGTGGCCTAATCATGTCTTCACAACAGTATCTGGGGTGGCTTTTGCTAGGTGATGGAATTGTCCAAGGTTGGTAAGGAACTGAAAGGAAATCTCTCCAACCTACCTCCAAGCATAAATGAAAAGTTACAGTAACACTTACAGCATTGAGGATTTCCACCTTTAGTTTAATTTCTATACTGCCCAATAGTAGAGCCTCTTTAGGTGGTTCTTAACAACTTAACAATTTCATTCTCCTACCTAGTTTGAAAACTCTGCAAAGGTCTCTCCATTGTTTCACACTGGAGATTTATCAGATCAGGGATAGGGAACCTCAGGCTGGTGGGTCCCAAGCTGATCCTTCAGGGTTGTCAAGAAAGCCATGCCCTTTCCTCAGGCCATCACCCCCCCCCCCCCTGCTGGATGTTCAGTGGTTTCCAGCCTTTTTCACAACTTCTTCCCCCTATCCGGTCAAGTTGAAATGCCTCTTGTAAACTTCAAAGACTGGCACATAACTGTAACCTGAAACATGGCACATTTTTGGTGTTTATGGCCACCTTAGACCCCACTCCCCACTGGCATGGAAGAGGTTCTCCAAAACCAAATGTGTGTCTTGCACTCAAAGCACTTTCTTGCACTTTCTACAGTCTTGGGTTAGACTTTTACTTAAGATGATGAACTGGCCAACAAGTTCCACTTGGTTTGTTTGTTCATTTCTTCCTTTTCTTCTTCTGCCTTTGACTTTCCTTAGAATGATTGTCTTCTCCAGTGAGTCTTGCCTACTCATGTATTCAAAATTTAGCAGTCTCAGTTTTGTCATATTTGCTTCTAGGGCAAGCTTAGGCAGGTTCCTGCCTTTATGTTTGCAAAATAACCCCCTAGTTTCCATGTAGTTGCCAATTCAGGGAGCTCATTGATTACGAATGCCACTGTTAAATAATAGGAGAATTCTAACATAGCTATTGATTGTGCACACCTTCAGATGTGCCTTTCCTATACATCCCATCTTAAGTATTGCTGTTTGAATTATGAGATTGCTTGCTTCCTTCCTTTCTTCCTTCCTTTTTTTGGGGGGAGGGGGGTGGTGTAATTTGTTAGTGCCTCTGCTGGTGCGATTTTTCTCTGCAACAATCTCTTGAGAAAGTTGTAGACTAATTCCCAAGGGAGATTAGTGATTCTTATTATCTGTGGGATCCCTAATTCACTGAAGGTTTATCCTGAGTTTTATAGGATGTCCATATATCCTATATGGTGGGGATGGTTTTATATCCATGGTGGGTATGGATAGCTCCTTTAGAGGATGGATAGGATAGGATCCCCTATTTAGGGGATGGAGATCAACACCATGGATAGCTCCTACAGAATTCAAAGTAAAAGCTTCAATGGATGAGTCCTACTGACAGAGTCCCTATTTCTCCTGCTACTCCCTTTCCTCAGTGCCTTTTCTGGAACTCTCTTGGACTTCGCTAGCACTGTCACTCTAAGGTCATCCCATTACTCCTGTTCTATCTCCCTTGCAGAATGTGGGAGAAAGCTTGTTACCTGAACACAGGACACCTTCTTCTTACCAGATGTAACACCACTTTGAAGAGTAGAAACCCAAAGGTCTTCTGTTGCTATATCTCTGGCAGTTTCTTTCATCACTGCTGCCTAATATACAGATGGACCAGCCACACCCCATGGGATCCTACACAAATTGAGGCTGGATGTCCAGGAGGAGATGCCATGCAGCAGAACATTCCAGCAATAAATTAGGGCTACATAAAACTGATGGAAAGACAAGATGTACTTGGATTCCTCACTCTCTTCCAATCACTGTAGATGAGCTCAAGAAAAAATAAGACAACAACTTGTTCCAGCGTCTATAAACATTTGAACCTGTGTATCAGGTACAAATGCCTCAAGCTCCATCCATCTTTGTTTACCATTCCTCCATGTCTCCCTGGCTGTTTCTCCCTCAGCCCCTCCCTCAACCTTCTGTCTGGAGGACTGCTCCTGGGGGCCTGGGGAGCTCTCTTGGCCCTCAGATACCTCACCTCCTCCTCTAGGAGGAGCTTGTACCGAGGGCCAGTGTATCCCTGCCTCTCCTGAGAGAGAAGGGCAAACATTCACAGGTGTTGCAGCAGACAGCAACACCTGTGATTCCCGCCAGGGCCATCTCCTGGCCTGACATTGGGTAGCCCTCACAGGCCCTACCTTCTTGCCCCGCCTTGTCTGTCCTGCACTACCCTTCTAACTTTACTCAGCCAGTTCTACCAGACAAACACACGCACATACAAACAAAAACCAAATTTAAAAAAATTAATTAAATACTGTCCCCAAGAAAGAGAGTCCCTGGGCAGCCCGGGCTGCAGTTAAGGGATGCAGACAAGGGATGACACCGTTGGCACCACCAGCAGCTGAGTGCGGCTTTACAGGCCTCAGAGGCTGCGGGCCCTGCCCCTCTGCTTCCTCCTGGGCCTCTCTGACCTCTGTGGCCCCTTTCTTCCTCTCCACTGCTCCTGTCCCCCCACTCCTCTGCCCAGGTCCTGCCTTGCCTTCACCAGTTCCCTGGCCAACCGCAACACTCTCCCAGCCTTCTCTGCTCTGCCAAGAACCAACTGACATTTATATGTGCCAGTTCCTGCCAGAATATTTTCCTAATTGGCATTTCCTCTGTGTCAGCTTGCCTCCATTTTGTATAATGTCCCTCCATTTCTTTCTATATTAAGCACTTGCTTCTAAAAGATAGACTTCAGGACATACAGGCAGAATAAGACACTTGGGACTCTGCTCTGTGTAACAGATAGATATTACATCAGGTCCAAAGAAAGTCTCCTGTGTTCTGGGATGAAACACTTTCTAGCAATCTATTGGTGATACTAAAAGGAGAAGATGTGGGTGGCAGGATTAGGAAAAGGGAGCTCCAGGGAGAGAACACCTTGCTCTTTCCAGAATGCAATGCAGAGAAGAACATGGCAATCTGGCCAAGCCTCCACAAAGTTTATTTAGACACACGCACCATTTGGAATTGTAAAACTGGGGCCATAAATAACAAGAAGTAACACCTCCATCCCTTTTTGTATTCTTATCTGATTAGTGTGACAATATTGACCAAAGAACTGTTTATAGCAAATCTCCATGTTCTGTTTCATACTGAAATTATTAATCAGATCTGTAGCAGATCCAAGAACTACTTAGGATGTAAACCTCATTGAAATTGCACTGTTGACCAGTAATAAAACCTTTTGGAGCTCCAGCATGTATGGAGAGTCTTTTGGTGTTCAGAGAATTTGATTTTCAAGTCCAAAAGAAAGTGGTCACCCTTTTCTCTTTCTCTCTAGACCTCCCTATACTTTTCCACATGGGGCTGGATAACTCCAAAGAACTCATGCTCAGTATCCTCATGAAAACTCCTTATACCATGTGGCGGTGAGAGAATTTAACTCCATGGCTTATATTCCCCGATCCTAATTTTATGGGATTAACATTGATATTCAGATCATTATTCTTGCTCCAGCGAGACATGCACAGAGCATCTTGCTAATGTTGGTGGGTCCTCATACCTGAGTTGGGGAAACAACCCTGCCCTCAATGGTATGATAGCAATGTTTACTTACACTAGAGAATCCAATGCCATGTACTAGAGGATTCTTCCATCTTCTGTGTGACCCACCACAACCACTTCCTTTCCAGCATCTCTTCCATGGGTTGTAAGTCCCAGTATTTAGGGTATTTAGTCCCCAATATCTTCTTTTTGTAGCTCCCTGCTCAGCTGGTATTTTGGCACACTTATGGCTGAGAAGATACATACAGGGAAAAGAAGACATTTGGACCCATAGTTTGACTGGCAGGTTTCTATTATATCAGGTAGGGCAAAGCCTGTCCATGGTCAGATAGGGAGGACTCATTAGGAGTGAAGTGAGGTAGTACTTGAAGGTAGGTACTCCATTTGTTTATGTAACACCAAGAAAATTCTGGATAGAGTATTGTGAGAAAGGTTTTTCTCATGTTTCCTCTGGGCATGTATAGAGTATATCCCCACATGACTGAGTAACCAACTTTTGAATGCCTAGGCCTGGGCTTTTGTTGAAATACACATATAATGCTTAGAAAGCTGTACCTAAGAGCATAAGAAAAGCCATGCTGGATCAGGCCGAAGGACCATTTGGTCCAGCACTCTGTACACATGGTGGCAGATCAGCTGCCCACAGGATCCCTTGAGCAGAATGGGTGCAAGACCTCCTCCTGCCCAAGCTCCTCAGCAACTGGTGCATGCAGGCATGCCACTTCTGGTCAAGGAGGTAGTTCCTAGCCTCTCTTTTCATAGAAACACACTTTTTAAATGTCTGCATGGAAATTTTATGTTCATAGCTACATTTCACTTCTCAATGCACATGCTTAAAAGTGTGTGTGTTGTTACAACTGATAGCTCAATGCTCAGAGAAGATCTGAGAGTTTGCCTGACCTGCACATTGCTCTGGATAGGGCTGTGATGAAGCTCCATGAATACGTCCCTCCATGGAATCCATACATTCACACAAGTCATCTCCTGCCTCCTGTGTCTTAAAAGTGACCTGAGCTGAGAGGAAGTCCAGGATCACTAGCAGAATAACTGTTGTGCAACCAGCAACCTTCTTCTGCATTACATGCCCCATTACATGCAACAGAAAGTTGCTGGACATGATGTGGAAGAGGGACACACAATCACATGGGGCTCAACTCCTGGTGAATGTTAAACAAGTGCTGGGTGTGCTCACCAGAATCATGGATTCATGGCCCTCACAAATTGGACCAGTGTCTGCAGAGCCAAGGCCAGGGAAACTGATGGAGTTCCCAACCTCCCCGCCAATGTTTCCCTCACACACACCTAGCTCTGGGTGGTATTGCATCTTCAGTGAAAAGGATCTTAAGTTGCATGACAGAGATGGCAGGGACAGGACATGAAAACACATGTGCTAGTCAAAACACACTACTGGGATAGATAGACTGAGAAGGACTGACAGACTCAGTAGGAGGCATCTTCAGATGAATCTGACCAGGATAGGGATGCAGGTGGACCAACACTGTCCTATTTCTTTCTTCTGATCTTATGCCAATCCTTGTAAATTTGGAAGGTTAGACCAAGTCCTCAGACTGCTTCTCTCCAGTATAGTTTATGTGCAGGTCATGCCCTACAGGTTGCAGGTGGAGAACCTCAGGACATGCCCTGTAGATTGTATGTTGAGAACTTCAGGCCTGAGTCCCAAATGCAGGTCTCTGGGGTTCTTCACAGAGCCACACCCTGCTGCCATGACTCAAGGCCCATTTCTCTCAACTGCTGACCATTTGGTGGTTTCTAGGTAATTCTGTAGCCCCCTCACCTTCAAAAATGTGGAGATGTGTCTTCTGTGGCATAGTTATTAGAGGTAAGACTTTTAAACTGAAATGTGCTGATGTCTCTTTAATACTTTGGTCTCACCTCCTTTTCCTTTTAGCCACACCCACCACTGCAATATGGCCCCAGGAGCATCTCCAAAATAGAATGTAGTCTCTGGCTTGATGAGGTTCTTCACTCCTGCTATAGAGGGGCACCACCCAGACATCTTGAGATGCTTGAGGTGACAGACCCTTGAGAGATGCCAAAGCAGAGGATCTGCCCTGTAATTTACCAAATTACTGTTGCCTTGGGTAGCCCAATGGATAATCAGGTACTACCATGCAATTAAATACCAAAACAAAAGCTTCATTTCTAAGGTGATATGATATACACACTCTATAAAGAATCCATAACTTGCTTCCACCCAATCTAAGGCAGACACAGTTCTGTGTATTCACACTATTTTATAGGTTCTCCCTAGACTGATGTTCTTTGTTGTGGTCCTTGGTGATCATGAAGAGGCCATGTTGGGGACTGGTGCAAGATGTATTAGGACTCCATCTGATGTTCCTTTTGCTGTTGCTACATTATGCTTCTGGCAAGAGTTTGAACTCCTCCCTGCACAGCTGGGCACCAACAGGTGAATCTCATTTGCATAATCCTTCAAATGATATTACCATTAGTGAATTTGTATCTGTGTCACTCGCCAACATCCTTCCACCAGAATTCATGAAACATCCACGTTCTACAATAGATGCTAAGTAAGTGTATGCATGTGTCTCTCTCCCCCACCCCCTCAGCAAAAGTTTGTACTAGGCTCAGTGGTTCTGATTTGCAAAATAAATTGGTACATTTGAGAACCAGCTTGTGTCTGTTTTTGCTTTTAATTTCTTTCCTAAGCCCTGACCAAGCTATCAACACTTGAAGATCAGTCCTGATTAACAGAAATACCTGCTGCTCTTAATTTAAGAAAAGCTTGAGTTTTCTTGGGGGTACTGGTAGAGCAGGTATTCTCATGGAAAAATCAATAAGGGTACAATCCATCAGGATGTCTATCACCCCCCTGTCTCAGAGGATTATGGACATCCTGTAAGGAGACTGAGGTCTCCCGTAGCTAAGGTCTCCACACCTCAGCACCAGTTCCACATAGCTCTGCTAGTTCAAGATTTGCATGGCCTTTACAAAGACTTAGTTCTTGTATCCTTGGTAGGAAAGTCAGTTCTTTCTATCTGATTCATGCATCGTCCTCATTTGTTAAATGGGATAACCATACAGCAAACCGAAACAACTCCATTTAATGCTGTATAAATATCTCATTGCAGCATTATACCAAAAACCTACCAAAACATCCTGGCTTTCATTTTTGCCATTCTTCAAATCAATAAGGATGTTGAATTGTTACCTAATACCACACTGGGATCCAGGATTTACAACAACGCTTTTCACACAGGGCTATCCTGTCAGAACACTCTGCATATTCTCTTCTCTTTGCTAAGGGATCACTCCAATCACAGTGATGCCTGGGAAGATAAATTAATGGCTGTCATAGGAGGACTCATCTCCCACAACTCCATCCAGATGGCCCACATCCTGAATACCTACAAGGTGCCACAGGTATGTGTTTAGAACGAACACTTTAAAATGGGCAAGAGTGCATCAATACCTGGAATAAGAACCAGCAACATGGAGGATCTAAGCAGCATGACAGTGATGAAAACCTTGAGATTTATTTCTTCCATATCCTGCTTAGAAGCTACACCTACCCTGCAAATAGACAATGGCAGGAAAATATGCTAGAGGAGATGAGATTGGACAGTTTTCTCAAAGGCCGAAAACTTTGTTGTAAGATTATATTGAATGAAGTAATCATATTAACCTTGGAAACCTTTGGTTACCAATCAATCTTTTCTGGTCAAGCGTAATCTATATACCACTATAGGTAAATATAGATATAGATATATTGAACCATATAGGGATGGTTCTGAAACTGTCCTTTTGTCCCTCTTAGCTCAGCTATGGCTCCTTGAATCCAGCTCTGAGGGACAAAAATCAATTCCCTTCTTTCTACCATATGGTCCCAAATGAAGATGTACAGTATGCTGGGATCATTCAGCTCTTCAAGCACTTTGGATGGACCTGGATTGGCCTCATTGTTTCTGATGATGACAGTGGAGAAATCTTCCTTCGAACCCTGAGACCAAGTCTTCAGCAGAACAACATTTGCATTGCTTGGATTCAGATGATCTCAAGAGTGACCCTGTTTTTACCATTTGCAATGGTTCACCAAAAACTGAGCCCAGTTCATGTAGTACTCACACTGAGTGGAGTCAATGTGATTCTTGTTCATGGAGACAGTGAATCTATGGAAGGTTTACGACTGGCTTTAAACATAAAAGAATTTGTTTACAAGCATCCTACAGAAAGGGTGTGGATCACTACTGCTGAATGGGATCTCACAGCTTTAGGAATTATGAGAGGATTTGCCACAAAATCCTTCAATGGAAGCTTGTTGTTCAGACCACATACAAATGTGGTACCAGGATTTCAAGCATTTGTGGAGAAGATAAATCCTTTCCAGTCTACCTTGCATTTAATCAGACCATTCTGGGTTACTGCATTTTTATGTTCCTTCCCAGTACACAATCTCTATTTCCCAGACACAAAAAACTGCACTGGAAAGGAGAAGTTGGGAAGCCTTCCCAGAACTGTGTTTGAAATGGAAATGTCTGGCCAAAGTTACAGTATCCACAATGCTGTTTATGTTGTCGCGCATGCCCTCCAGGCCATGGCTCTGTCCAGAAGCAAACACAAAAAAGAACGAGATGGAAGAATGCAGGGTCCTTGGGAAGCTCAGCCATGGCAGGTAGCTGCACTTCTAGCGGGCCATCCGCAATTCATCTTCAAATACCATTGAAGAATTAACCACAAATAAACAAAGGTGCAACCACAGGTAAATCAAGGGCAGAACATAGACAGGTTAGCCCATGTGATTTATGAGGTCAGAACAGAAAATGAAGCACTCACCCTGTGTCTGGAACAAGGCAAGGAAAGAGTCCATAGGCCATGTCTCATCCACACATTTATTTTAGTCCCCCTTCAAGTCATCTACAAGAGGATGGCTTGTCTCAGATCTCTTGCTCACTGATGCTATTCCCTGAGTGAGTACGTATATTGTAAGAAAGGAAGGCAAGTGATCTTCATCTATTCAGCACCTTTCATGAGTGTATAAACCTCCATCATACCTCTCCTTACTCATTTTTCGAAAGTCAAGGAACTCCGCACAGGTAGGTTCCTTTGGTTGAGATGCCCTTATTATATCTAGAGAGTAGAACAAAAATAATGTAATGTATTGAGACATGGACCACCATCATTTTCTTAAATGAAGCAGTATTAGCCCATTGACAGCACAAACAGTAACCTCTTGATCCCATTTAAAAAAAGAACATGAGAAGGATTCTTTAAAAAAAAAAATGATAGAGCACTGCAACAAACTCAGCTTTGTCCTCAAACCCACCTGGTGGTCCTGTGATAGCATCTGATAATCCCACCCACAATCTCAAGGATTTGTCTTGCTCGCTTTGCAGCATGATGGGTGTGCTACCTTCTGTCCATGGTGCCTTTTGACATTCTAAAACAGGCAAAGAGGGCAGTTTCTACCCCAGGGCAGCCCAACACCCAGTCCAGGGGCACCTCTTGCCCACCTGTGTTGCTTCTCAGGATAGAGGATGGACATTAGGCTCCTACACCTTCATTTAGATGGTGCCTATGTCAGATTTTAGAGGGTCCATGCAGGATCCTTTCTCCTGCAACACTGAGAAAATAGGTCTTGAATGGACAGTGCACTGTCCACAGACATGCAGGGTAGTTTTTGGCTTCACTAGTTGATATTGCTTGATATTTTCCTCACATTGTGCATATATGCAACATTAAGCCATTCCTCATCATCTGACTGTGTTGTCTGATTTTTCACTTTCTTCTTAGCTTCATGTGTTTCTGAGAAACATCCGATTCAACAATAGTGCTGGGGAAGAAATATTCTTTGATGACAATGGGGACCTGGCATTCGGATATGATCTCATCAACCTGATCACTTTCCCAAATAGATCTTTCCAGAGAAGACACATTGGAATTATTTACCCCCAGGCCCCTGCTGGGAAAGAGTTCATCATTAACAGAAGTGCTATTATTTGGAATCACAAATTTCATCAGGTAGAAATAGTCACTGTCACTGTCATTTTCCATTTGATAATTTGAAGTCAGTTCCCAGTGGCCTAAGATATCAGAAGCATAAGGAGTATCACAGGGCTGACTGCTTTTTTTCTTTTTGGTGACAATTTTTTAAAAAAAAAGAATTCGAATGTGTATCTTACTGAGATTTCAAGTGACCAAACCTCTATTAGCTTTTAATTATTTTTTAAATGCAACACACCATGTAAAGCTGCTTTGTATGGACATTTCATACTTGTACAATCCTCTTTCAAGGTTTTAACACTCAGATTTGGTTTTGGCTCCAAATGTCCATTCACATTATATCAAAGAGACATTAAACTATGTATATGGCTAATGTGATCATTCAGTTCTCACAAGTTCTGCATTAGCATTACACTTTCACCTAAATAGCTGCTTAATTTTTTCTCTTTTTACACCCAGAAGTGTCAGTTCCTGAAAATTAAGGGTGATGCTAAATGCATTTGATGGCATGGGGTGTCTTCCCTGATACCTTAGGTTAAATCTAAATTGCCTATGTTACAGTGGGATTGGGTCCATGCCTACACCTCCTCCCCACCAAAAGAGAGAGCAGGGTGGGAGGGAAAGGGAAAGTGAGCAGAAACTAAATATTGCCCAGCTGAGTGAATGGGGAACTGTGACTGATAAAGCCAAGGAGCATCTTCACCTGAAGTCTGTGATCAGACTTGGACCATTCTGATGCCTCAGTACCATTGTTTCTGTCCGAAGTTGCTGCTCTGATGCAAATTCTGAGATCTGATTCTGTCCTCATGAACAGGAAAGGTAGACAATTATGGCAAAAAGGGAAACAAGCTCATTTCTTTCCCAATTTCCCTCTTTGTGCTTTCCCTTAGATGCTGCCGCAGTCCACCTGTGTGGAGAGTTGTCATCCTGGCCAGAGCCGGTTGGTCCAGCAGGGGAAGGAAGTGTGTTGCTATGAATGCATTATTTGCCCCCCAGGAAGGATTTCAATCCAGATGGGTAAGGGAATGATTGTCATGTTTCTTAGATGAAAAACAAGATGTTTCACTGCGGGTATTCTGTCATCTTATCCTTCAATAGCTGAATATGTTGAGTGGGAACAGCAGGATTATGCAGAGGAAATGCTGACACAACGTGTGTCACTGATGCTAAAGGAAGAGGGATTGTTACATGAGCTGCACTTAATGGATTCTAGCTAAGTGAAAGGAATGTTTGCGAATCTTGAATTACTAAGCATTTTCACATTGCTTTCAGATGAGGACCAATGTGAGCAATGCCCTGAAGATCAGCATGCAAGCAAGAATCAGAAGCAATGTATTCCCAAAGAAGTAATCTACCTTTCTTACAAGGAGCCCCTCGGAGTGGTTCTGGTCTGCTTGGCTCTCTTCCTTTCTGTGATCTCAGTGGTGGTGGGGTGGACCTTCCTTCAGCACCACAACACTCCCATCGTCAAAGCCAACAACTGGAGCATCACATGCACCTTGCTCTGCTCTCTTCTGCTCTGCTTTCTTTGCTCCTTCTTGTTCATTGGAAGGCCCAGTAGGGTGACCTGCCTTCTGAGACAAACTGTCTTTGGCATCATCTTCTCCATCGCTGTATCCTGTGTGTTAGCCAAGACCATCACGGTCGTGCTGGCCTTCATGGCCACTAAGCCTGGAAACAACATAAGAAAATGGGTGGGGAAAAGACTGTCAGTTTCAGTCATTGTTTTCTCTTCTCTTATTCAAGTGGGCATCTGCACTGTGTGGCTGGCAACTTCTCCCCCCTTCCCAGAGTTGGACATGCACTTCAAGGTTGACACCATCATTGTTCAATGCAATGAAGGTTCCCTGCTCATGTTCTACATGGTCCTGGGCTGCATGGGCTTCCTGGCCACCATTAGCTTCACTATGGCTTTCCTTGCCAGGAAGTTGCCTGACACCTTCAATGAAGCCAAGCTGATCACCTTCAGCATGCTGGTCTTCTGCAGTGTGTGGGTGTCCTTTGTGCCCACCTACCTGAGCACCAAAGGCAAGTACATGGTGGCTATGGAGATCTTCTCCATCTTGGCCTCTGGTGCTGGCTTACTGGGCTGCATCTTCCTCCCCAAGATGTACATTATTATACTGAGGCCTGAGCTGAACACCAGAGAGCAATTAGTGAGGAAAAAATGCTTAGGATATGCACAAGGAGGAAGGAAATAACATCCTCTGGACTGGCAGCATGAGAAGGAACGCAGCCTTCAGAAAGCAGACTTCTCTCACTTGACTGAAAAGAACTATTTCCTTGCCTGATTTAACTAGAAGTGTCTCCCCTTTCCATGGAAAGTGGTGACCCGTCCAGTTGGAGGGTGCGCTTGGGTGAATTCAGGTGGTGACACTTAAACTTCCACTGTTTCTCACAGCAGAGTTGATTGGCAATTTAAGGTGAGGCATTAAAAGGCTGAGAACTGAGATTTTATACAAGCATTATCTGATATCTGATGATCAGATTCAGGTTCCTGGACTGAATGCAAACACAGCCATAGGGAGTATGCAGAGAACAAAGCCAGGTGCAGGGAAAGACATCCTGTCTGCGGTGCAAAAAAAGATCCCTGGAAGAAGCAAAGAAGGTGTGTCTATGCAGACATTTGCCACCAGAGGGCAGGTTACTCCTGCAAACCTTTGAAACTGAAATGAAACTGCTCTTTCCAATTCTCAACTGCACAGGAGGAGGAGAAGGATGCAAGCAGCTTTGAGTTCTCTGTAAGAAAAAAGTCACGTGATACAGCAAATAAATAAATTAATAAAGAAATAGATTTTATAGGTTTTTTTTTCCAAAGTGTGGAAGGCAGTGAGGAAAATACAGAAACACTGAGAAATCATTATAGGCATCAGGAAATTATCAAGAGCCATTGAAGGCCTGAACAATAGATAACACAGGGAACACTTAGGATTTACAGAAATCGAACAGATTTAAAATGTGTTTTTTGCAGAGATACAGAATTCCTTAAGACAAAGCATGAGCTGAATACATATTTTTACATTACAAAGGAAGCACACCTTCCCATTGTTTCAACTCAACTCTCTTTTGACTCAGAGCTTGTCTGATTTTGTGAGCAAAATGCTTGTCTACTTCTACTTCATTATTGACTCATTGTGGGTTTATTCTCTTTTGTTCAGAGTCAGAGTAAGAAGTGTCAGCACAAGTGGGGTGTAGTAGCCAGAACTTTGGGCCTGGACTCATGAGATCCAGGTTCCACCCCTCCTTTGGCCATCAAGCTCACTGGATTTCTTTGGGCAGCTCATGGGATCTTTGCCTAAACTCCCCTGCAGGGTTGTCTGAGGATAAATAAAAGAGGAAGAAGATGAGGAGGTGATTATGCAAGCTCCCTTGGGGTCTTTGCAGGACTAAAGCATGCTAACATTCCAACAATCAATCAAGGTTTTTAAAAAGGGAGAAAATTAAAAGTAAGCATGCAAGTGACAAAGAGCGATCTTCAGGATGGGCAATTGTTCTTTGTGTTTCCTTTCTCAAACTCTATTTGTTTAAACATCAAGCCATTCCATTCTATGGTGTGTTTACATTTCTCAAGTAAGTGCAGGTGTCCCTTAGCACTTCTGTTTCAGCCAGGGCCAAAGGTGCAGCCAGGATTCTCGGGTGAGCATCACCCACCCAGAAGAACATAGGAAAAACCATGTGGGATCACACTCAAGGTCTGTCTAGTTCATGCACATGGTGGAACTCCATGAACATGGTGGCAAACCAGCTGCCCACAGGATGGGCACAAGACCTGCTCCCATCCAGCTCCACAGCAACTGTTACATGCTGGCCTGCCATCTCTGGTGAAGAAGGAAGCACATGGACAACAAGGCTAGTAGCCACTGGCAATCTCAGTGCACACCCAGTTTTTCTGGGCCTGCCTTTCCAGTTTGAAAGACCAATTGAAGATGGATTCCAGTAAATTTCAGATTTATCTCTGATTTTATCTTCCCCTTTTATTGATAAAAAGGTGATTTTTGACTGGCCTCTCTTAAAAAAGCACTCTGCCTGAGGCTGCAGTTAAAGTCAACGTGGAAACCTCAGCTATTGCAGAATGCAGCTGAAGACCTTCTACTCCATGGCTAGGCGGCAGAGTTGTGTATTCGGATTGTACTATTTGGGACTGCTTTTCATTAGGCAATACATATATGTTCCAGATGTTTTGCTTCTGTATCTGAGATTAAGGTTCTCCCCAAAAATATCTGCTCTTACCTGTTCACACAGTCCTACATTCACTTCCCCAGAACAGGTATGTTTCTATTCTCAGTCTAGCCCTCATCAATCCCCATTTTACTCGGATACAGACCAATATTACCATAATGAAATCAGGGGCACAAAATTGAACTTAAACCAAGAGGAAGAAAGGAGCAAGGCAGACAGGAAAAATACTAAAATCCCTCTCACTAAGTCTTCCTCTACACAGCCCTTGCTTCTTTAGGAAAAAAAAAAAAGCCGTTTCAAAGCTGCTTTTTATGCATCATTTGCTTGCACCCAATAGCCATGATAGCTCACCCCTTTTCGGTCAAGGTTCTACTTATAATCCTATATTAAATTATTTTTAGAACAATCCAGTTTAGACTACAGTTTGGACTATGGCATGAGAGTCCATGTAATTGCATGCATTGGTTACTAGACAGCGGTGCATTTCAGGTGTTTCCTGTTTCTTTCTTGCTTGGAAGGGTGTAAGATGAATTCATTACATTGTACTGGATTCCTTGAACTCTACTGAGAATGCCACCTTGCAAGTTTTCAGCATGAATCATATGGCACAAAAGACAACCCAATATTTCAGATAAATCATCTACACATTGCTCCGTTATGACATATCAAAAGATGCTGCAAAATGTTACTTTTGTTCTTTTAATGCACAGATTTCTTTCCAGTGCTGGAATTAATTCTGGATAAACTGCTCAGGCTTGAAAAGTCCTAAAGGTCTTCTAACACCCAGCACATGATGTCTCTTTAAACAATCTCTCTATATGGAAAACTGCGGGTGGAGAGAATATAAATAATGGCACACCATTGCTTCATTGGAATGAATGGATTTTATTTCGGTGTGTTTATATTGTTCAATGTATTTATATAGTTTTATATCTTTGTTTTTATATGCTTTTATTGTTTGGAACCTGTCAGGGAGCCATGTGGCTGATGGGGTGGGCTAGAAATCTAATGATAAATAAATAAATACATTAAATGGTATGCAATTTCTTCCACCAATTTATTTGAGCACAGTAAGTATATCTAGATGAAATGAAATGAAATGAAATGAAATGTAGGCTATTCAATGAGGAGAAGGGCTTTGATCTTTGGTTATAACGTTGAAGCGGGATGCTTCACAAAATGTAAAGTACAGCAGTGTGGGAGCCAAGAAATGGCAGCAAATCAAAGGTACATAACACACGTTGCATTGCTATGTGTTCAAGTGCAATTTTCAGTTTAGGAGCAAGAGGAAATGGCAGAATTCTTAAAGCATTAAATGATTGGATGAGTGCAATTAACAAACAGCTAAATTTAGCCTTCTTCATAGTGCACAGGATTGCTACCTGTGCAGCTTTTTCCATTCTTCATTGCTCCCCAGAGCTGCTCCCCTAGGCTTTCTTACTCCCCTGCTGTTTTCCATTCTGCACGCTCCCTGAAACTGCTTCTGTAGGGCAATAAACAAATTACAGTGAGTTAATAAGTTACAGCAGTTAAGTTACAAGCAATTAATTAGCTAATATGTTACAGCAAGTTAATATACAACAGAGCAACTGGGCCTGTTTAGTCTGGAAAAGACTGTGGAGGGGACATGGCAGTGTTCACCAAATATCTGATGTGCTATTCAGTGGAAGAGGTCAAGAATTTGTTCTCTGCTGCTCTGGAGGGCAGGGCTGGACTTAATGGGCATATGCGGGGGATATATGATAAGGGCATTCAGCAGTAGAACTAATGGCCTAGGGTCCACTCTCACTGGGGGTCTTCGTGAACAGACTGGGCAAGTGCATGTTGAGAGTGCTTCAGGCTTAGATCTCCTGCTTTGAGCAGAGGATTGGACTGGGCAACCAAGAAGGGTCCCTCCAACCCTTTGATCCTGCATCCATAAGGAGAAGATTCTGTGGGAATCAAAAACTGGCAGATGGGTATCCCATACAGGCAGGCCTATTCCTGTCTAGGACTGAGCGCCAGGCAGAGGACAACCATGCATGGCAGTGATTGGCTAGCACTATGTGATGTCACCAAGAAACCACTCCACCTGCTCCACCTCCAGATAGGTTTGCGACTCTAGAAAGTTTCCTTTGGGAAATCAAAAAGGCTGGGATTGAATGGATTCATATAAGCAAATTTCCTTGAAGATTGTGGGGGGCTGTGGGGGGTGTTGGATTAAAGTGGACAGCATATCTGAAGCATGGGGTGCAGAGGGTAAAGGTGATGACTGAGCCTGAGTCACAAAGCCAGGAAAAAGTTGGGCTCACTCTGTGAGTGGCAGGCTCCTCTTGTGAAAAACACAATGCAAGGTTGCCTTTCCACACAACTGCCCTGGCAGAGGTACCTGCCCTGGCAGAAAGCTTGCAAGACTTGATTTCTGACTGGGGTCAACTACTCACTCTTCCTGTGTGTTATACCCTGGAAACTGCTTCCAAATGTGCAAGTCTGGCAGCAGACTCAAATATGCAGAATTAAAGGTCTGAGGCATGGTTCCTTCCTAGCCATACAACTGCGGAGCTGTGGATGGAGGAGAGGAAGAGAGGTGAACTTTAAATTAATTTAAGGCACTCTCTGTTGGAGAGTGAGTTGAAATTCAACACTGCTAATGTTACTTATGAACATCCTGGTGCTGTAAGACAAAAGAAAGGGGCATTTTTATACAGTAAAGAGCTTGTCCAAATGTAATTTGTTACATGATGGGGAGAGCAATGCTATGGGCACTAGACATCATCTGTAGGTTCCCATAGATTTGTTCAGATTCCCAGATCTGAGGCTGGAGACAGAGCTCTGAGTTTGGATTTAGGCATTTGCACCTCCCACATGTAGCACATCTGTCCTGTAGGACAAGAGGACAGACACCAACTATCCTGATGGAACCCTGGCCTTTTCCCCTTCCCCTCTGAAGTGTCTCAGCCAGAAGGCTAGAAATAGGTCTAGCTAAAATGACAAGTAGGAGGTGTGGAGAGGCAGAGTTTGGCCACTCTGTGGCCTCTGCTCTCACTCTGCTGTGGGTGCTTGTAAGCAAGGCTTATCAACATCAAGTGCCCAGTTGATAAGACATGCCCTTAAAGCACAATCCTGTGTACATTTCTCTGGAAGGAAGTCCCCCTGCGAAATCAGTTCAATATATATTTTCACGTGAACTTATCTACTAGAGCACTGTCAAAACATCCTGGAAACGAAAACTCAATTATCCTTTGAAATATGCATCTCTAGATCAAACAGCGTGTAAAGACTTGTGCTTATGAAGAAAAAGTATATTAAAATGAATTATATTAGGAAAATTCCTTGTATCCCCTAAAATATATATGTTGAAAGAAATCTGAACTAAAATGCAGATGAATTTTCATTCAGACGTAAAACAGTTTCTCTGAAAGTCTAAGACAAGCTGCAGCTGAATCTGGAGAAATGCAAAAGGGAAACCAACCTCTTTGCCATCCCTGCTCCAATCTAAATGTGAAGAGGACTGCAGTCTCAAGAAGCCCATTTCATGTAATCATCCTCTGTGCTGTGGAAAGATGGTAGCGCAGTGTCAAGATCAGCTCGGACAAGCTCCTTTTAAAAGGATGCCATGTGCCCAGTGCTAAAAATGGTTCCCTACCTTAGACCTTCCTCTAGACTGTTCTGCAGGAGCAATATGGTAAAGCAATGACCTAGGGAAGTCTTGGGCTCTCCCACACCAGTGGCATTCTGGCAGCAGCTGGACAGCCATCTGAGAGGGCTGGTTTACCTGGGACTCCCTCACTGAGCAAGGGGTGGACTTAATGTCCTTATAGGCCCCTTCCAACTCTACTATTCTATGGTTCTATGACCATCCCAGGCTAGGAGTATCAAAGGTCAGATTCAGGACAAGGCTGTTCCTTGTGTCCAATGCAACATCCCCCTTGTTCTTCTGCCAGCTGGTGAGCATCTGACTAGGAACACACCCCTGTATTTGCTTTCCCTTTGTTTACTCTCACTTATCAATGACTAAGGTATTCCAGAGTCTAAAGGGAGGAGCATTTTGTGAGGATTCTGGTACTGCCCCAGAAACCAGGAAGAAGGCAAACCTGACAACTGTATGGGCCAGTTTCATGAGATTTAGATTTCAGTGACAAAGAACAGACAGTCAGCTGCACATTCAGAAGTTTCCCAGTCAGAGGAACAGTTAGGTGGGTTGACTTGCTCTCTTGTCTTAATCCAAAAGTGCAGTAATACTGTTCAGATTGATTTTTTAAGAGTAATTATTTCTCCTCCCCTCCCCAGGTCCTCTGAACTTGGCTGGTAATAAGCAAATGTAACTTCAGAAAGTTGCTACTGATGTTTTGTTTTGTTTCTTTTCTTCCTCCCAATATGATCAATTCCAGATGTTCTTTTGCCTGGCTTAGAAGTACAAAACAAGAGCCATGTTGGCCTGGTTTTTAGCATCATCCGTTCTGGCTTTGTGACCAGCCAAGGACTTGGCAAACCTTTACAGCATAGTTTATTATTACAATGTTATATAGTTTGCAAAAGTGCAAAGGAAGAGATACTTTTAAAACAATATTCAAAAGCTGCATTGGATTCCCTTTGGAAATAAGCATTAGAGTTTCTAGACCCTGCAATTTGTCTCTTTGCTTTGCTTGGCTTTGCTTTCATTCCTTTGCTGTAGAGCTTCCTATTTTCCTGGGAAGTACAGATTGCAAAATAATTTGGCAATTTTCAGAAGCCGATCTCCCCCTATTCCACAGTCTCAACAAAACAGGAGAAGAAAACGCAGCACGCGGAGAGAACCATTTTGTTCTGCAAGACACGTGGGATCTGTTGAAGGTGAAGAGATTGGGACATTGGGATTCAGGTGAGTTTCTGAAGTGAATGGGTGGGCAATATACTGTTTGCATGAAGGAGAAAGGCAAGGGAGTATTACAGAGTTGGAAGGGACTTTGAGGGCACCCCCTATTCAATACAGGATCTACAGTGGATCCACAAGGCAAGATGCAGGTATGAAATCCAGCCAGCCAGCCTCTTCTTAATACCTCCAGCAATAAAGAACCCAGCATCCCCCAAGGCAGTCTAACTGCTTTTATCATAATGAAGCTTTCCCTATATATTAGCTAAAATCTATTTCCCTACCATTTCCACCCATTCCATGGAGCAAACAGAACAAGATCCCAAGCTCTATGTAATGTTCTCCCCACCTCTTGGGTCTGCCATGCCTTCCTTCCGCCAAAGGGCATGCAGTTCCTTTAAACTGAATTGCCCTTTCATTTCCTTCTCCAAAGTTGTGTTTTCAATGGTCTTCCACCACCAACTCTTTCCTTCTCAGCTGTTAGAATGTGCAGGTTTGATTGATGACATCACAGCAGTTCAACCAATGCCTGCAGAGGGTGATTGATGGTGGCAGTGGCAGCTTGTGGCCAATCTGCAACACTTTCTAGCTTTCATCTGGATAACACAAGTCCACACATGCAACATCCTGCCTGCAAAGGGCTGCATGGCAGTTTTAGAAAGATTAGAATAGTAGTAGAGTTGGAACATAGAAACAGAGCAAGTCAGAAGGGACCTCCTGGGTCATCTAGTCTGACCCCCCAGCTCCAGCCAGCTCCATGCCTACCATGTGCATGTCCTTGAACACCCTCACCAATGGGGCTTCAACCACCACTCGTGGTTGAACCTTTCACTCTGCTTCCACCTGTGGGCACCCATCCAGCAGCAGCCCTGTGCCTTTCCTGCTTAGCAAAGGAGACTCAACATGCTGACTCAAAGTTGAGCTATGCAGGCAGGATTGGTTTGAACATCTCTTTTCTACGTCCAGCTGTAGCTGACACCAACGCTCAAATGGCGGCCTGCTCGCAGTTCCTATTCCTGCTGGTTCTGCTGTCACCTTTGCCAGCTATCACTCAGAGGGAAACCCGGCATGAGAAATTCCTCCGGCAGCACAATGACTTCCCAAAGACTGACAGCCACCTGGATGTCCGGCATTACTGCAACCTGATGATGCAGAGGAGAGGAATGACCAACATCAACTGCAAGCCCTCAAACACCTTCATCCACGGGTCACACGAGTCTTTGGATGCCATCTGCCGTGAGGGGGGCACCCACCACAGTGAGAATTACTACGACAGCAATGCCATCTTTGAGATCACCGCTTGCCGCATCATGGGAAATGTCCAGAAACAACCCTGTAACTACCGGGGCAGGGTTAGTTTCCAGCGCATTCGGGTGGCGTGTCAGAATGGGGAGCCAGTGCACTTCAAATCACCTCTGTAGGAGTGCAAGGAGCACTTGTACATCAGCATTTGCTGGGGATCCCATGCGTCTAGCCATTTTACAGTCTGGCTGAAATCAAGATCCCATTTCCCCTTTAGTGTGTTTATGTCTTTCAGCTACAACTTGCTTTTGCCTCATTGACTCCTATTATCATCTGGTGGCCATCAAACAGCATAATGATTCCTTCCTATCAGTCTTTAAACACCCTAAGATCTGACCTTCCACCTCATCCCTTTCACAAAATTTATCCTCTGTTTATACTTCAGGTGGTGTAAAAGCCATTCTTGCTCCTAGGGAACTCAGTTCAGAAAAAAAGCACAGGGATCTCTTAGAGAAAACTCAGCATTTGTTGGAGATGTGAAGGCCTACAGGTGGGGGTGATGGGAAAAATCATTTTTTTCCCCCTGGAAAACCCTCAACTTTTCCACATTTTCCATTTTTTTTCCTCAGGCCTGCACATCTCTACTCACAACCAACTACAGTCCCCACCCTCTTTTCTGGGGTTTGTGTAAAAGCATGAAAATGCATGAAATGCACATTTAAAATAGCCTTAAAATGCATTTTTAAACATGATTACAAGCTTGGGAATGTGAAAGCTTTTACTTTTTTTTTAATGCCCTATTTAGGGTTTGAAAATTTGAGAATGGGGCTAGTTCTGACAATTTAGAAACTGAAAAAAAGTGGCCTCCATTTTTTTTTTTTAACCCTAGGTTGCCCTTTAAATGGTGGAAGGTGATCTAACAGGAATGGGATATTCCAGGCAAAATATACATTGTATATTCATAGATAAGTGGAGAGAAACAAAATTCCTTAAGAGTTTTATTTATCTCTGTTCTTGTTCTAATAGGCTCTGCCAAGCTGGAGTGTTGCATAATTGAGTTAATTCCCAGGGCTTTATATTTCTGCTGCCAAATCTTTGCATGAATATCTAATATAACACTGGAGATGTTGTTATTCCTAGTAGGGATAGAAAATGTCAGCATGGAACATGTTTTTCTCAGGCTGATGATAGGAGCCTGTGCTTGAATTGTCTTCTCTTACACCTTCATGCAATAAAATATTTGCACATGCATAGCAGTTGCTTTGTGGTTGTTGTTGTTAGGATGTGCAACAAAAGATTGCGGCATGACATGTTCCCTGTTCAGTGTTCTAGTGAGTCACCATGCTCTTTTCCCCTCCCCAAAACGAAATGGTCAGGATTCTGGATCTACTGAGTAAACTTGAGCATGTCATGCTGCTCTTGGTTTTTGTGGGGGAGAGGATGTTACCTCCACCTTAGGATTTCTTGCATCCTAAAATTGTCTGGTGAGGGGTGTGCTTTGTTTCAGGCTCTTCTGCAAACCTTGGAGTTCTCCCAGTCTCAGAAATACCTCCACCTTGTTATGTGCCGTCCAGTTGTCTCTGACTTACGGGAACCCTAAATGAAAGTCCTCCAGAAGGTCCTATGCATGGTAGCCCTGCTTAGCTGTTCTAAATTTTGAGGTTGTGGCTTCCCTTATGGAGTCTGTCCATCTCATATCTGGCCATCTTCTTTTCCTTTTGCAGCATTATTTCCTTCTCCAGGGACTCTTACCTTCCCATGATACCCCCCAAGAATGCAGCTTCACTTTGGCTTGAGTTGATCCACTTGTTAGCCTTTTGGTTGGTGCAGGATTTTCACAAAGCTGTCCTCCAGCACCATGTTTTGCACACATCCATTTTCTTCCTGGAAGCTTTCTTCATTGTCCAGCTTAGGAGTGCTCCTCGACCCTGAGCTGTCTCTAGAAGCTCAGGTGACAGCGGTGGCGAGGAGCGCCTTCCTTCAGCTTCGGATGATACATCAGCTGCTTCCCTTCCTAGAGCATGACTGCCTGGCAACAGTGACACACACGTTGGTAACTTCCCGATTAGATTTCTGTAACACGCTCTACGTGGGGCTACCCTTGAAGATGGTCCGGATACTTCAATTGGTGCAGAATAGAGCTGCCAGGTTGCTGACAGGGTCTGGGCATTGTTCTCATATAACCCCAGTTCTCCGTCAGCTCCACTGGCTCCCAATTGAAGTCCGGGCCCAATTCAAGGTGTTGGTTATGACCTATAAAGCCCTAAACAGCTTGGGACCTGGTTATCTAAAGGAACGCTTGCACCCATATATGCCCTCCCGCCCCTTGAGGTCAGCAGTAGATGCTCTCCTCCGGGAACTCTCTGTGAATGAGATTAGGAGGGTGAGCACCCGGAGGAGGACCTTCTCTGCGGTGGCGCCCCATCTATGGAATGTGCTCCCCAGAGAGGTCTGCCTGGCGCCGTCGTTATTTGTTTTTCGGCGCCAGGTTAAGACCTTTTTATTTAAAACTTATTTTAACTGTTAATTATTAACTAGGGTTTTTTTTAATTAGCCAAGAATGCACTGGGGGGTGTTATTTATTGTATAATTTAGTACTTATTTACTTTATTACTTCTGTATTTATTTATGTGTTGTGAGCCGCCTCGAGGCTTTGTTGCGATGGGGCGGCATAGAAATGTTATGAATGAATGAATAAATAAATAAATAAATATGCACATACACATCAATCAAGAATACCATAGGGTAGATGATCTTGGCCTTGGTCTGCAGTGAAACATCCTTACATTTGATAATCTTTCCTAGTTCCTTCATTATTGCCCTTCCCAGTCTCAGTCTTCTTCAAATTTTGTGGCTGCAGTCTCCCTTCAAATGGATGACTGAGGAAAGGTGCACACAATCTGGACAGATGAGTCCTCACTGCCCTGTTATGCCAGGGAGGGTTCAGGAGAAGAAATGTGAAGGGTGGGTAATAGTCCATGTCTGAGCACACTCTTTGTCTCCAGAAGGTCCCAGGTTCAATCCCTGATCATACCAGTTCTGGAATGTCTGAGGATAGCAGGGTGGGTTAACATTGAAAATACCACCATCAGTGACTAGAGATCAATTGCCCATAAAAGCAGACAATGATGAACTGATGGTGAAACAGGCAGCTTCTAGGAGCCACAGAACATGTTGGGCAAACCATGTGGCATTCAGCAGAGGGTTAGCTTTTTCAGTACCCTAATGTGAAGTTTGGAGCAGAGTTCTGTCTACCAGGTAGGGAGATTTCAACCTCTCTGTGACAACTTTTCTGAAATTCCTCTCCCTCTGTGTGCACACGCGCGCACACACACACACACACACACAGAGGGATTTGAGGGGGAAAGCGGTGGTGGGGTTAGTTTTTCCCTCCCCATGTGTGTTTATCTTAATTCAGTCAGAGTAAAAATAAAAACACTGACCCTTAGCTATGAACCACATGATGAGCCTAATGTATAATTTGATCCTGGCCTTCTATTAATTACAAAAAATATGAATCATGGTAAGTTGGCCGGCATGTCTTTTCTCAATGCCTTTCATAAAATGGTTTTGAGCATTTTCTCTGCATTGCTTTCTCAGTATCAAAGGTTGTTTAAATGCCTTTTAAATTCTGGGGGAATAAAACACACACACACACACACACACACACACACACACACACAGAGTCAACACTCTTGCGGATGTTCACATTTCTCTGAAACAGCTTGTGAGCGTTAACTGCTATGTTTTCAAAATTCACACACTTTTCCCCGAAAAAGAGGCCTCTGTTTGGCCACAGGAACTGGATGGGTGTTTAGAAAAAGGCCCATGTCTAAACTCTGAACCTTTCCAAAAGCAAATTGGAAAAGTTTCATTCTGGTGTTTTAAACTGGGTTGTTTGCAGGTCTCGTGCTGCAGGATCCTCAATTTTGGGGCAAGAGGGCAGATACAACCTTTTAAGAGCATCTTATGGGCAATTCCACAGCATGGCTTCTACAAGGGGTTGCCCAATCATGCAATGATGGTCTTGGTGGGCATGGCCGAAGAGAACACACCTAGAAAGCAAGTTGGTGAAGTTAAAAGAAAAGTAACTTGCTCACAAAACTAAGTAGGTTTTGAATTTCAACGCGCAAAAACCTTATTTTGAAGCACTGTTTTTCTTCTTCAGCATTCTTTTCAGAGAAGGCAGCATGTGAGAGCCAATGACAAATGCAGTCCTGCTGCTCTGTTATTCCATATTCATAGACTTGGAGGGTGATGTGTATCCAATGCTTCAGACAAGGTACAGTGGTAGCAATTTCTGCCAGTCTGTACTCTGGTTTTTAGCTAGATGTCCATTTTCAGCCAGGAGGAGGGAGGGCAGAAGGTTGGGATTCCAATGGAAATCAATGGAAGATCTTGGCTGCAAGATCCAGCTGGTGATGGACCAAGTTGCCTCCCATCAGGCCTCCCACAGGTCAGGGGGCATCAGTGGGTGCAGCCACTTCCATTCCATTCATCATCATCTTGTCCCTGTAAGTAACCTGCCTTTCCCTGTGCCAAGCGAGGCACAAAGTCCTCTTGGTTCTGGAGGAGTCTCCATGGGGCACTACACAAAGCTGCCTGGACAGTGCAGGGAAGAGCAGCCGCTTACCTGCCTTCTCCTTTGTTGTCTTCTACCTGAGAGTGGAGGTGACAGCAAGCCATCCTCCTTGGGAGGTGTGGGGAAAGATTCATTCAGGAAGAACCAAGGATGCTTCACAGAGCAGCTATGGAACCTCCATGGCCTCCCTACTTTACAGGACTTCTTAAGATGGATTCCCAAATCAGGACATGGAGCAAGGTTGCTACTATTAGTATCATTATTACAATAATAGTTGCATTATTACTTTCAGTTCTTACTGCTGAAGTTCTCTGAGTAGTTTGCAGTAATTCAAAACACAGGCACAATAATGAAAATGGTTGTTGTCACATGCCATCAAGTCATCTCCACTTGTGGTGACCCTATGAAAGAAAGTTCTCCAAAATGTCCCATCCATAACAGTCCTGCTCAGCTCCTCTAAATTCAAGACTGTGGCTCCCTTGATGGATGTAATCCAACTCTTATTTGGTCTCCCTTTTCTTCTTCTGCCTTTGACTTTCCCTAGCAGGATTGTCTTCTCCAGAGAGCCTTGCCTTCTCATGATGTAATATGATATAA